ACTTATGAATGTCATCAGCAGTGTCCATTCATGCCAGTCTTACTCATTCCAGCTAAGCTCTGCTGGACGCTGGCTGCCAGGTATCTCCTGAGTTTGTTTCTTCTTTTAAATTTTTTATTGAATTACCATGAGATAGAGCATTACAGAGCTGTTCATGACTGGGTTTCAATCACACAATGATCCAAAACTCATCCCACTACCAGTGTACTTTTCCCACCACCAATGTCCTGCTTCCCTACTGCCACACCCTAGCACCCCCCCACTCCCACCCCCAGCCTGTCTCTAGGGCAGGCATTTTCCTTCTCTCTCGCCTTTTGTGCACTATGGTTTGCAATACAGGTACCAAAAGGTCATTGTGTTTGTTCAGGACGCTCAATATTTTTTATCAGGATTGGAGTAGCTTTTTAACTAGGGGGAAGCTTTGGAGTGTGGACATGAGTCACGAGGCTTCCAGAAGGACAGGGAGGCGCTTTCAGAAGTACAGGGTGGCGGGAGGTAGCCGTTCCCGACTCCGAGAAAGCCAGGAGATTTCAGTCACAAAACCCACACACCTGAACTTTCAGCAGATTATATCTCAGTGAGATCCATCCTGGGACAGTCAAATTTAGCTGGGGCATGGTGGTGATTTTAGATTGTGGGAGCAAGCAGATGCCAGTGGCTCTGCTTGGGTGAGAACCAGGCCGACCTGCCCCCCTCCAATCTATCCTGGTCTGTTCAGCCTTGCATGGGTCCAAGATTAACTGTGGCTTTTGATCTCTTTCAAAAGAAATCTCTCCAGCAAGGCTGATAAATGAGCTTGTACAGCTGAGCCAGAGATGGTTTGTGGGCATGGCTCCCACATACCTAACTCGTGGCTGTTTAATTTCTCAGGAAACTTGGTTCCAGGTGTTGGGGTCTGGCTAGAGGCACAGCAGCAGTTCTGGGATATCAAGAATCCTGAAGGTGCTACCAGGTTGCTGATACACTTGCCCTGTGGGTACATGTTGACCTGCTGGCAGCACGGTACCTTCACCCACTAGACTTTTGTCATTTTGGAAAGGGTTTTTGTATATTCATAGAAAATTAGTGTTAACATTATTAACATGTTATGAGTTTGTTATTTTTATTAACATCATTATTTTTCTGTATCACAACCTGGTGTTGCTCAGGCACTGCTCCTGGCTCACTGGGTGCTGCTCCTTTGGTGCTCAAGTGACCATGTGCTGAGTAATGAGACCTTGGTCTTGTGCATGTAGGTCTAGCATGTTTAATTATCTTCCTGGACTGAATTTATTTTAAATCAATAAATATTTCTATATTTTTCTTGAACATTAACAAACAACAGCTCTTTAGGTACCTCAATAATTTTTAAGAAGGTCTGAAAAGATAGCTCATAGGGTTAGTGTGATGCTTTGTATTCTGGAGGCCTGGGTTCGATCCCTTGCACAACTAGGTATAGTCCAAAACAGAAACAATATTAAATATTTTTTTTATCTTGGGGCCACAGTAGGCAGTGTTTAGAAGCTAATCCTGGCATACTGCTTGGGGGCCAGGTGTGTTCATAAAACAATGTTCACGGGACTATATGGTACCACAAACAGAACTTTACCCAGCTGTGTGTAATGCATTGGCACTAGACCTTTGAATTTAAGAGTGTAAAGGAGCACCAGAACACCACCAAGTGTGATGAAAAAAGAATGGTAAGGAGTTCCAATATCAAAATGTTTGTCAGAGACTTGTTTATAGAGGTTTCCCCCAAATATCCAAAAGTTGTTTCTATTTGGTCTGATTTAGTAGGATTTTTGTGTTGTTATTGTTTGCTTTTTAGTTTTTGGGTCACACCCAGTGATGCTCAAAGGTAACTCCTGGGATACTCGGGGTACCCAGAAAGCCAGGGACTGAAAAGAGCCAGGATCATGTAAGGCAAATATCTTACTTGCTGTACTATCTCTCCAGCCTAATTTAGTAAGTTATTTTCTGGATCTGGGAATGTGACTATCATTAATAAACATGGGATAAAAAATTTAAGCATTCCCAGATCCCAAAGTTAACTGCCAAATCATATCAAATAGAAACATTATCTATCAGATAGGGGGGAAAAGCCTGCATTCAATATACTATGAATTGCTTATATCTAACTTCAAATACAGAAATAGAATTAAAAAACAGACATATTAAAAATGCAAGCGGATAGTTCTTCCAAAATAAAGTAGTATCAATGACAAGCATTCTGTAGTATCCCTTTAAAATAACAAGCAGGAAAGGAAGCAGGAGGTTAGAGAAAACCCGCGGGATGGGAGTGGTCGGGGGGGGGGGGGGGGGGGGAGAAACATCCACAATTTCATCAACCTAATGAACTGTTCACATCTTCCTTTTCTCTAATCTTGACCCTCTAAAATTTAAAAAAAAATTATTTTAAGAGTTTTGGGCCACAGATGGTTGCACTCAGGGCTTATTTCTGGCTCTGTGCTCAAGGATCACATGCTATGCCGGAGACTGAACCAGGGCTGGCTGCAAGCAATGCAAGCATCTTACAATACTTTACTGTCTCTCTGAATCCTACACATTCTTTAATAGACTTTAAAAAAGAATAGCTTTAAATTTACTGCAAAGCCCTCTAGTCCCCCTCCCCTGTAATAAGCACAGCTTCACTAACATCTTTCATAAAAGAAGGATGTATCTAAAAACTAACCAAGTTACAATGACCTATATATTTCTTTCAAAGTTGTTTTTTATTGTTTAATATTACGTGTGATACAAATAATTTCGGTTTGTGTTTTGGGTAATACCTATCAGTTCTCAGGGGCTACTCAATGCTCAGGGGTTGCTCAAAACAATTCTAGGAGACTGTGGAGTGCCAGAGTTTAAATCCAGTGTACCCACAAACAAAACATCGACTCTAGTCCTGCACGCCAAATTCCTATTCTGGAAATTCTTTTTGTAAGGGCTGGAGGGCTTAGACTATAACCAGCATTGCTCAGGGTCTACTCTCAACACTGTTTTGAGGTGTCACTCCAGTGGTTCTTAGGGGAACTTAGAAGGTGCTGAGAATTGAACCTTGCAAGGTTCGTGCCTTAACCTATGTACTATCTCTATAGTCCCCAGAATTTACTTTTTAGTGTTTGAGTGGGACCAGAGAGATAGTACAGGGGTTAAGGAACATGACTTTATGTGGCTGACCTGGCTTTGATCCACAGCACTGCCTGTCATCTGAGGAAGGACCCAAGTACAGAGCCAGAAGCAGCTTGAGTGCCCAGATATGCCCAGCCCAAAGGTAATGAATGAGAGTTACATGGTCACTGAGTTAGTTACAATGAGTTGACTATGTTTTCTGAAAAAGAAAAATTCAATGAAAAGTATTAGTGACAGGGCGCTGGAAGACAGTATAGTGGTTTAAGGAACTTACCTTAATTCTTTCTTTCTTTTTTTTTTTTTGGTTTGTGTTTGGTTTGGAGGTCACATCGCTGTGCTCAGGGTTAACTCCTGGTTTTGCACTATGGGATCACTTCTGGCAAAGCTCAGGGGACCATATGGAATGTCGGGGATTGAACCCAGGTCAGCTACCTGCAAGCCCTACCCACTGTAATATCACTCCAGCCCAGCATATGCCTTTTATACAGCTTTCACGGGGGACCCCTAGTCGATCCCTAGCACTACTGTAGTGACCCCCAAGCAGAGAGTCAGAAGCAGTCCTGAGTGACAGGAAGGTGTATTAGGGAATTTATACACAGACACTGACACAGACACAGACACACACAGACACAGACACACACACACACACACACACACACACACACACACACTACTTTTAGTACAGAACCTATCAATCAAAATTGTGTGTGGCTAGCTGAATTCCACTTATCAACATCACAGAGAATTTAGTATTATTGAACTTTCTACTGTACAAGCATCTCATTTATTAAAGTATAAAAACCAAGTACTTCTCCATTTATTATCAGGAATGACCCCAAGCACAGAAATGGGAATCAACACTGACTCCAGAACAAAAACAAAAACAACAAAAAAGGAAAATGTGTAACTTCTAAAAGCACATGGAAAGTTTAACACAAAGCATTGTGTTACTATGTAATTCTAACCCCCAAATTACTTTAAAAATTTTACTAGAGTCATTAGTTAATAGCATATAGCTTTTTGATGTCTTCCAACTCCTCTTAAATAAAGCGTTTTGTGAACTGTTCAAATAAACGACATCTGAAGCAATAGCACTGAGAATGGATTAGTGGCAATAAGGGAATACAGCTCATTTCAAGTCTTCTTGACTGACAAACTGGGGATTGACAGGAATACTACACTGATGACTTGGAACAGCATCAATCATCTTCCTTGAGTTGGTCAAAGTACTAAAGTTTTGTTTGCTGCTTGGTTTCTGGGCCATAGCTGGCAGGAGCCACTCTTGGCTCTGTGTTGGAGTCACTCCCAGGGTGTTGAAAGCACTGCAGAGCATAGGGGTAAGAGGCACACATCAGCCCTCCAAGCCATCTCCTCAGGTCCTCTACACTACAAGTTTCATAAAGAACCATTTGCTAAAATCTAACAATATGAAGTAGACTTTTTAAGGTTAATGGCAAGGAACAGTAATCATATTGTTATCAAGAGCTTGTAAACTAATTTCTCAGTTTCCTCCAATGTGTTCCATATCTGTGGATGTTTTATTTATTAGCAATTTTTCTTTACTTTTTTGCAAGGGTAATTTATTTCTAGAATGTCATTGTAATTAAAAACTTAATTGCCAATAATTTAAACAGGAAGAAGAAAAACCATTATAAATTCTTCCATGGAATCCTACCGAAGACAATGACTAGTAACACTGAAAGGGCATTTCCTTTTCCATCTGCATTCCATCCAGTGGAAATTCTGTATTGGAATATCACACATTTCAACAGCCTGTAAAAAACCCATCGCCCCAGGAAACCATTGCTGAAAATCAAGCAAATACATTCACAAATGGCTAGTGAAAAGACTAGGTCTGGAAGAGAGGAACCTCATGAGGAGACACTTACAATTTTGCATAAAAGTCACAAAATTCCTTGTAAACTTTCACGTCACTGTGCCTGCGCTGCAACTTGGACACAACCCTCTCGTCTTCATTGCCATCAGCTCGGTGGACACTATAAAGGGCTCTCTCAGGGATTTCTTCTTCCTCTGGAATGAGGTTGGAGTGCACAGAGCCCAGGAGTGCCATCAGTGGGTGAGACAGCCTTAAGCTGGGCAGAGCAGCAGGACAGGAGAGGGAGAAACAATATCCACTCCTCCTCCACTTCCCTTCAAGGTCACTCCCACTGTTCCCACATACGTCAGCCACAGGCCTGCCAGGGTCACTCCTAACCCTCATGTTACAAGCTCAGGCAGCAAAGCAGCCAGCAGCATGATCATTCTGGAAACTCCAGAAAACCTTCCCAAAGTAGTGACAATCTTTAACAAAGCAGTCTTCCTAGTAGACAGTGCTTCTAAACCATGTGACAGCAACAGAGAGCACTACTTAAGAGCCCAGAAAGAAATAATATGCCCGGGAAATTGGTTAATGGGATTTCTACAATAAAACTGTGCTTCTCAGAAATTTAGGTTGTTTGGGGAATCACACCTTGTGTAGATTGCTCCAGGTGGTGTCTGGGAAGCACCTGTGTGGAACCACCCTCCATGCTGAGCCTCCTCAGCTCCAAAATTCTGTGGGTTGGTTTGTTAGTTCTAGGCCACACTTGTGGTACTAAGGGGTTACTCCTGGCTCTGCACTCAAGAATTACTGCTGATGGTGTTAAGGGACCATATGGGGTGCCAGGGATTGAACCTGGGTTGGCTGCATGCAAGGCAATTGTCCTACCTGCTGTGCTATCACTCCAGCCACCAGATTCTTTATTTCTAACAATTCCCCCCTTAAGGTTCATGATGTTGGCGCACTCTGGAGCACCCTGATGCCTGGGGTGTGCTTACCAAGCTGTGCTAAACTTGCCATCCTCATCCTGGAGCCTGAGAGCCTCTGGAATCATGTGTGATCTCGGGGTCAGGGAACACAGTGGTACGGAACATGGGAGCATGTTTGAGACCTTCAGTTCAATCCCTGTCGCCACAGACCCTCTTGCTCTTGCGCTGCAGCCCAGTCCAGGTGTAGCCCTGGTGAGCACCGCCAGCCTGGACTAATGCCCTCAACAGCAGGCCTGCATGTGACCAACACTGACTGAACCCAGGCTGGCTGAACACCACTTGGGTTAGTTTCTATTTCAAGGAAAGAAAAAAATCTGGAACTTATTTAGAACTCCAAGTCCCAGCTAATTCTATAACCTTGGTGAGTAAATGTCTCTTTCGTCTTCATAATGTTTAAAAATGTGGCATTTCCGGGCACTCTAGGGGAAAGGGCAGCTCAGATAGAGAAGGGAGCACCAAATAAAGGGTGTTTGGAGGATCCTCCCAGGAGGGGAGATACATGTTGAAAGTAGACTATGGACTGAACATGATTGCCACTCAATGCCTCTTTTGCAAACCACAACACCCAAAAGGAGAGAGAGAACAAAAGGGAATGGTCTGCCACAGAGGCAGGGTGGGATGGGGGGATGGGTGTGGGAGGGATACTGGGATCCATGGTGGTGAAAAATGGGCACTGGTGGAGGGATGGGTACTTGATAATTGTATAATCGAAACCCAAGCACAAAAATTTGTAAATCTACAACTGTACCTCATGGTGTTTCACTAATTAAAAAAAAAAAATGTGGCATTTCATGCCTCCCCGGAAGGGAAAGGGTGTTGCTCCCTTTCACCTCCCCCACCCCCCCCGCCCAGCAAGGTGGCCACCTCAGAGCTTATAGGAAAGCCAGGTATGAGCCTGTGGTGATGGGGCAACTGCAGTCTCATGGGAAGGGGGGGGTGATACCAGCTCGTCCTTCACGCCCTACCGAGGTCACAACTTGCCACCCACGAGTGGCAATCCGGCACAGCCATAACACAAGATGCACAGAAACCAATCTCATAATTATCTGGCTCTTTGCAGAAATCCAAAATTGCATGGCCGCTATCACGGCCACACGACATTGTATGATTTTCATAACCAGCTATAGAAAACATATTTCACAATGCCTTTTCAGCAATTCTGATTGTTGGGGGGGGGGAATTCTAAACAATAATGGTGCATCTTTTGTCAAAATAATGAATGTAATCAATGTAGAGAAGAGTTAAGTAGAAATCGTCTGCCTCACAGGCATTGGGAGGAGTGGGAGGGGGGTATATTGGGGTTCTTGGTGGTGAAAAATGAATACTGGTGAAGGGAGAGGTTTTTGATCATTGCATGACTGAGACTTAAACCTGAAGGCTTGGTAACTTTTCCCACAGTGATTCAATAAATAAATATAAGAAGGAAAAATAAATAAATAAAACTATGAAAAAAAAAGTAAGGTGGAGTTCATACTCAATTCAATCAGCTAATCAGTGGCTGAATAAATAGCAGTACTCCTACATAAAAAAAAAAATGTGGCATTCTTGTTCTTGGTATTCCACACTACTAACATCCTGGAGTAAGATTACCAGCAGTGCAGAAGATGATGTAGTACCACAGGCAATAAAATGATTTAGAATCTTTCTCATGCCCCAATCTTCTCAGCACCAAATGCACCTTCCCACCAAAATCAAGACACAAAAGGACATGTGAGAAGGAAAATCTAGAAATGTTTGTTAATTATCCTCTGACTGTGGCCTCCTAACTTCATTTCCTTTTTGTGGACCCTGTCCTACCAGTATAGACACCAGCTTAATCTCAAGCTCACTATGGCCCCCCCTTATGCAATTTTTCACTGTGGTACCCTTCGCATATACTGGAGACCTTCATTCAGTGAGAAATACTGATCTAGAGAACAGAGAAAAAAAAAAGGCAACCAATAGAGGGGGTAACTCTAGATTGAGGAGGGCCCTGACATCACTTAGTGAAAATGCAGCAAGCATTCTCAAGTACTTAAACGTACTACCAGCACGGCTGGGAGATGTTGTATACAAATGGTGAAATGCAGGTATAAAACTACTCTGTAGGAAATTATGAAATAAGACTAACTGCAGAAAATGAGACCTAGTTTTTGCACTCCGTACCCTGAAGATCTTTTGATTACCTCATCAGGAATTCAAAGGCTATGTGTTCTGGATCCTGGCCAGGCCCAAAACCTTAACAAGAAAGAAACAAGCTCCTGGTTTGAAACAAAGGGGGGGGGGGGCAGGAATGAGGTTCAACGTATTTGCCTTGCACACATGAGGTCTTGTGTTCAACCCCCTTCACCACCAAATCAATAAACAAAATAGTGCACAGCCTTAAGGATCAGCATAGTAGAAAGTGGGCAGTCATTCAAGTTTCTTGCCCAGAATGTATCTTCCCTCTTAATCCGATTCTCACTCTCTTTTTCTTTCTTTCAGGGGCCATGCCTGGCAGTGTTTAGGAAATGACATGTGATGCCAAGATTTGAACTGGGGCCACAGCAGCCACATGCTACTCAATCACCCCTTTTATTGGGGAACATGGAGTACACTGGCAATGCTCACTGCATATGCCTGGCTTTGCACTCAATGATCATTCCTGGAAGTGCTCATTGGACTAGATGGAATATTAGGGGCAAAACCTGGGTGAGCGATGTGAAATGCAAGCACCCTACCTGCTGTATTATCTCTCTGACCCCTGGAGTAGATAGCCTCTGGAGACAGTACAAATGTTAAGTTGTCTATGTTGAAGCCAGAGACCCAGGTTTGATTCTCAGCATCCAATATGGTCTCTGAGCACCACCAAGAGTCATCCCTGAGCGCAGAGCCAGGAGTAAGACCTTAGCACCACTGGATGTGGCCTCAAAACCAAAAACCAAGTTCTACTCCACCTAAGGTATTCCTTTTTTCAAAATTCAGATTGGTTTTTATTTTTATTATCTTTAAATTTCACTATCTCAGTGAGGTTTATACTACGGCCAAGTACATGAACATGAAACTTGCCCTCTCCAAGAAGAAGACTCTAAACAACAACTTGATGTTAAGGAATAAAGAAGGGAACTCTACCGTTACTGTGTTTTCAACAATAAGCATTCAAAGTTGCCATTTACAAGCAGCTTTGATATACTTAGTGTATCATGCATAAGAATATACATTACTGGGCTGGAGAGATAGGACAAGGGCTAGATCATGCCTGACCTCAGTCTGATCTTATGCACATTGGGTAGGTGCAGAGTGTAGCACTGAGGCTCCTGACCACCACAGACTGTAGCCCTGGCAGTTTCCAGCATTGCATCCTCGGGTCTTAGCAGTCAACTGTCTAGCTGGGCGGGTGGGAAGTCACAGGAGTTGGCTTCAGGCTTCCTGACTAGTGCTTGGACTCTCCTACATCACCCCGCCAAATATGCAATAGTAAAATCAGAGAACACTTACATGACTTGGTCAGTCACACAGTTAACAGAAGATCCTCAATTTAAATTCAATCACCTTACCTTTAATATTTTTATTTACCTCTTCATAAAATTGACTCTGTGTTGGTGGATTTCCAGAAACTGATATATCTGTCCATGAGACAAGAAGCTGTCAGGTTTTATTTGCTTTTCTAACACTATTTTGATTGCAAATCATGTTCATGCTCCTGCCAGAAACATCGTCAAAGGGATTGGAGAGAGATTAGGGGTTCAGTGCTTGCCTTGCAAATGGCCAAACTCTATTGGGAGCCACCCTTGAGCACAGAACCAGGAAGAGGCTCCAAGTACTATTGGGGGTATCCTGCTGGGAGTATACTCTCCGACACAAAAAATTATCAGATAAAAATATTCTGCTCACACTAAGGTCATGCTCTATGGAGAACCATATGTAAAGAGCAGATTACTTTAGTGAGTACTGTGAGCCTTGTCCCTCCCTTTAGAGACAACTGTATATAGAATAGAAAACACATCCTTACCTAATTTTTTAGCCTCACCACTTAGCCAGTATGCAGTAATTATCTGCTGAATGTATACCTTGGGGTTATAATAATCTATCTACTTGTACTTCCATGAATGGTGCTTAAATCCTAAGCCCCCTTATCCTGCCCCCAAAATGTCTAAGAGAAAATGTATAGGCTAGAGAGATAGTACAGGACATTAAGGTATATGCGATGCAGGTTTGATCCCTGGCATCGCATTTCCCGCCAAGCATCACTGGGTATAATACTGGAAACCCACTGAGCACTGTTGGGCTGGTCTGAAATCCGACAGCCTCTTAAGTTCCAC